TCTCTGAACGGAGACAAGGGGCCTGGAACAGCCAAAGTGCTATCAGGCCCTGCCCAGATCCTATCACACTTCGCCCAGCCATGTACTGAAAGCCGTCCGCGCCCTCAAAACAGGGCCCTCAGGAAACGGGTTTTTGGGGGGGGGGAGGTAGGGATCTGAAGTATTTGAACTTCATAAGTGTAACCAAGACCACGGAAAAGTCCCCGAATGTCGAAAACATGGAGACAAAATTTTGAGTGGACGCTTAACTGTTATCCGTGAATGTAAAAAAACAGTGATGTTTATCAATTTGACCCTTTGCCATGTACGCCAAACATGAAACTTTGATCAAAGCCTCTAACATTTTCCAGAAAAAGACGAGCAAAGCGTAAGAAAAGTTATGTCACGAGCCTATATCTGTATCTGCATCAGCTGCGGAAAAATGAAATTATTGAATCCGTTGTTATCTCACATATCAAACCATTCAAGTAATCTAATCCGTAGTAATCCCCCCCTCGTCGTGATGGTCGCGACGTTCGAAACATCGCACGTACCCAGTACGTGTCGTTTCGGCCGCGTTTCCTCGCGTGCCTTTCTCTTATCACTGCCGCGCGGCGAAATCATGGGACGCCGCGACTGCAGGACTCGTGCGCAGAGGACGAGCACGTCGTGGACGTCATCACTTGAGAGGCAGAGAAATGAAAATAGTGGGTCCAGCGTGGAGACGCAGGAAGAAGCAACTGACTAGGGGTCGAGTACGCCTTATTCGTCCTGTGCGCAAGGACATACACCACTAGGTTCAAAGCACGTCAAATGCAATCGATATCGATACCAACAGCTGATAAGCGCCCAAAGGTCAAGGCGCTGAACGATTTTCCTATTTTCTGGGCATTTCTGCCAAGGAAGTTGAGTGCGATAACGAGATTGTTTGGTATGACAAACAAAATGTAAACTACATGCTCTACAGGCACTTGTCCTGTGCTCCCTTCTACAATTGTTAGAGTAACACTGTGAGCGTGCGTGAGACAGCTTGTCCAAAGAAAATAAAGCGAAGACTTGCTTAGATTCTTGTAATAAATCACCCGCAATATTTTATTATATGCTATACAAGGTAATAAGCGGCTGAACGAGATGCCTGGTATTGATAATCGGATTCACTATATTTTGAGGTATTATCATGAGCAGCAATGAAGCATTCTTATATTTACATTTATTAGCGCGTCTTTGCCGCATCCAATGACAAAGTGAAGTTCAATGTAACTGGAATTGCTATTGTAAGGCTTTGCATACGTTTCAGTAACATCTTCAACATGCGCTTTCGAGTATTGGACATGTACTGGCATGCCAATGATAGCGACACTTCCTTTTGCTGTATATGTCCATACTAAGAGTACGTAAAATTCATGCATGAGCGCAACCTGTGTGAATAACTATCTTGATTCAACAAATGCATGAATCACCTAACTCCGCTCTGCATCTCAACCAGGGCCCGGCACGAGGTGGGCGACTGACAAGCTGGGAATCGTTTTGGGGCCAAAAAGCAAAGGGGATATCGTTTTTGCGGGATCCAAGGAGGAGCTCCGGAAGAAGATTCCAAGTGCAAGCAAAAGTCGAGTCATGCTTACCTTATACATCTAATTCATCGGATAATAGTTTTCATAAACCTCAACGCACAGCAGACTTCGCGCGCACTGCGCCGCGTTCCGCTATTTGCCGCGTGCGCGACGTCGCATGAGCGATGCCGTTGAACAGCATGAGTACATGATCAGTTCTCAATGCAGGCGTAATGATATGAGGCTAGTAGAAACAAAGCATGAAATGTTATGAAAATTATGTGAATGGGAGGTGTAATAAGCATTTTTTCCAAAAAATTCGGAGAACTGATAAATGAAGATGTGATTCAAATGGCTCGTTTGCAGCGCACAGATGAGCGTACGGTATGAAACTTGGTAGGTACATGAACATGGGCCTGCAGGGCTTATCTTAGAAGTTTTATTGGAAAATTATGTGAACAGGTTGTGGCAAGCTTTTTTCTGAAAATTTCCCACTATCAAGAAAATGGAAAAATGGCTCGATGGGCAGCGCAGAGAAAACGAAATCGCGCGAGACTTGGTGTTATACGCGCAGTAGGACTAAGGAACAATGTATGAAAAATTATGAAAAACTTATGTGAGTGAAGAGCGTGCTTAACTTTTTTCCAAATTAGGTGGGCAATTGCCCACCTAATGCCCACCTGAGGTGGGCAAAACTTTCAATTCACATAATTTTTTTCAAAATTTTTACATAAATCTGTTGTTCACCTAAAGTTTACTTTATGGTGAGATTTTGGTCCCAAAACTCCTCCTTTTGTCTTTGTTAGAGCTCAAAATCGCATCAGCAGCCTAGCTTTCTAAGATGGAAAGCGCGCCCCCAGTCAATCGATACGCGCGGGAACGGCGACTCGCAGTCCTATGACTGCGTTTCTTTAATATCTTTTCATTCCTTCATCATTTCCTTTGCTTATTCTTCTTCCTGTTTTCTATCTTGATACAGGTGAGGAGTAATTAAAGGAATTTGAGCATTTTGGGCGCTTTTGAGCGCTTTTAGGCGAAGTGTGGCCGGTGCTCTCGTTCCACAAGCACAAAGCGTCATTTTTGGGCTCAAGGGGGTATTTGTAAAAACTATTGGGGTCAAAGAGGAATTCGTTTTGGAAAACCCCGTCTGCCCACCTCGTGCCGGGCCCTGATCTCAACTTGAGAGGAAACTGCTGCACTCGCACAAGTCCAAATCGAGAGGCTTTTGAGGACATTTTTCTCGCCGTTTTCGCAATAGCGATTTGGAACGAACTGGATATCATAGGAAGCGCCTTGTCGAGCTGTTTCCAAAACTACCATATCTGCTGCGCGGTTCTTTGGAAAAATATGAGCGTATCAAGATTTGAATTTAGCAAACATTTAGTGCCACAACTTCATAGAATAGGGCCAGAACACTTAGTTACGTTGCCGTGTATGTGTGCATTCCTTCTAGTCTACACTTCTAAGCGTTACAGAACGAATGGTAGTTGCTGCTGTGATTACACGTAAGATATACACGCAAGAAACGAATTGGCATCTATGAGGAAGGGATATAGGGCTATCTATTGATACCTTTATCGCTATTTATTGGCACCTTTATCGTTTTTTTGACGGACATTTGTTGCAGTAAGTATGAGTGCAGTTCTTCGAAAGCACATCAAATTGTAACATAAGTTTTGATATTCCTGTAGGACATTTTTTTTCATTTGCAGATACTTGGATAGTTTTAGCTTTTTGATATACATATCACATCCGCAAAATTCAATTCCGAATTTTTTAGGTTACTAGCTGGCGTACCCGGCTTCGCACGGGGCCAAACTTTGCACACATACACTTCGGGGCAGGGAGCGTGTCATACTCCACTTTTCGTTATCGATCGATGTCGATTTTACCGATTTTTATCGATTTTTTTGCAGAGTTCACCTACAGGGCTAGGAGTTGGCACAGGGGGGGAAGTGAGCATGGGGATTCCGAATACAATATTAGTTTTCAGAATTATCGATTACTTTTATTGATTTTATCGATTTTTTGTAAATTTTGACATGCGAGGCTGGGATTTTGCACAGGGGGGTATATAATCGAGCATGCTGATTACGAACACAATATTAGTTTTCAGGATCGTCCATTACTTTTATCGATTTTATCGATTTTTTTTGTAAAGTTTGACCTGCGGGGCTGGGAGTTTGCACAGGGGAGTAATCGAGCATGCAGATTACGAATACAATATTAGTTTTCAGGATCGTCCATTACTTTTATCGATTTTATCGATTTTTTGAAAATTTGAGCTAGGGGGCTGGAATTTGGCACAGGGGTGTAATCGAGCATGCTGATCACCCCCTTTGGGGGTGATCAGCATGCTCGATTACCCCCCCTGTGCCAACTCCCAGCCCCCTAGCTCAAACTTTGCAAAAAAATCGATAAAATCGATAAAAGTAATCGATAATCCCGAAAACCAATATTGTATTCGGAATCCCCATGCTCGATTACCCCCCTGTGCGAACTCCCAGCCCCGTAGCTCAAACTTTGCAAAAAAATCGATAAAATCGATAAAAGTAATCGATAATCCTGAAAACCAATATTGTATTCGGAATCCCCATGCTCGATTACCCCCCTGTGCCAACTCCCAGCCCCGTAGCTCAAACTTTGCAAAAAAATCGATAAAATCGATAAAAGTAATCGATAATCCTGAAAACCAATATTGTATTCGGAATCCCCATGCTCGATTACCCCCCTGTGCCAACTCCCGGCCCCGTAGGTGAACTCAGCAAAAAAATCGATAAAAATCGATAAAATCGATATCGATCGATAACGAAAAGTAGCCTATGACACGCTCCCTGCCCCGAAGTATATGTGTGCCAAGTTTGGTCCCGATCGGTTCAGAAATAAATTTTTCTATTCCGCACATACGTACAGACATACAGACAGACAGACAGACAGACATTCAGCTTTATATATAAGAAGATTTTTGACGCTTTCCAACTTGCATTATAGAGCTTTATTTTGCGAACTACCTTCGTATTAGTCCTAATAATCTCAGCAGTTTAAGAAAATGCAAAGTCACAGAAGTTTGTAGAGATTTCAAAGAGATAAAAAGAAATATGAGCGATTTCTAAAAAATATTAGAGAAAATGGAAGTTAAAGTGCTCACAGCAACTCATGTCCGAGATTGGGAAAATAAGTGCTCTCAGAGAAGTGTTCTTATATAATTTCTACTGCAACTCATGTCCATGAACTGAAAATCTATTGTTCCTTGTTCCTCCCTCATATATGTCAAATAAAAGACTTTGGCGAAGCTTTCAAAGTTTTGCAAACGGAGACGAAGAAGGCTAACAAAACTTAAGATATGTCCTAGTGTTTACTTTGATAGGTTCCGCACCAACTACGAGAAAATGCGTTTATCACATCCACCACATCTGCACCATTCACGCGAACTAAACAATGCTCAAAATGAGGCAATTAGAGCGTACTTCAACGGTAAACGTCAACAATTCCCTTTAAATTGCTAGAGTACTTAAAATCTAATCTTGGGAAACCTCCGAGTCTGTAAATAAGGCAACCAATCCTTTTCTTCGTAATTAGGTTGAAAAACCTTTTGAGGAAAAACCGGAAACACACAACACCTAATCGATTGCGAGTGTCCCTTTGTTTCACCTGTAATGAGAGGCTATTGCCAAGTATTTGAGAAATTCAAAATTTTTGCAACGAATGATCAGGTGATCAGGCAAAGAACTCAAAGGTAGAAAACTGGGAAAGTGTACCGACGAAAAATTGCTTATCTGTAGTATGTACCACACTTTCCGAAAACGTTTTTGAGTCATTTGAAAGGAATCTTCTCAGTGTTCTCTGGAGTAATTGAAGCTAGTTTTGTACTCACCCTATACAACTCCCATCCAATTTTGCCATAAAGCCCATCCATTGCTTCTTCATCATCGCTGCAACACAGCACGTAATTTCAGCCTGTAGCAGCTTACCGCTAAGATAATGACAAACCTAACAGTGATAACTTTGAACGGCGAGAAATTATTCTCAAGACATGAACAGCAGAAACTAACGTCACTCTAAATGTGATGTTTTTGGATTTTTTGTCTACAAGGTTCCTCCGTGCAGTCCGTGCCAATCACGTACCCTCTTTTAATATAGAAACTACGCTCTCGCAAGGACGAATTACGTAATGCGAGGGCTTTGGTGCACTATTTCTATCTATTTTATCTATCATGTGGCCAATTTGAATGCAACATACGTGCGTGATGACGCTCAATTCTGGAACGATAGTTGCGCAGAAAATAAACACGGGAGTACTCGACTGACACAGACAGCACAAGGGTCACTTCGTTAAACCTTGAGGCTTTTGGAAGACCAACCTTAAACATTGCAGCTATCTCCTTGCTCAATTTCCGATCACGTCTTCTCAGACGGTAGCAAGGAGGAAATTCACAGCTCCCCAAAACTGGCGTTATCTTAAATTTCAGATAAATCAAGTTATTTATAAAGTTTTGCCAATTTATGTTGTTCTAATCTTTTTCACAGCTTTATTGAAAATATTAGGTTGGTGCAAAAATAATGAGCGTTTTTATTTGCTTGCTTTAACAAAGCAACCAGACTCAATCCAACAAGGGTAAGGGGTACTGTTCGATAGAGCAAAGCAAGCTCTACAAGATGGCACTCATGCCTTTGCGCCATGCTCGATCCACGGAGAGTTCGAACTCAAAATCTAAAGATTTCCAAATGCCCAAAAAATCGAAAAAAATCAGATCTTCGTCCAAATAATTTCTACGGACCTCCCACTCGCTCATATCAATACTATCGATATCTGATATCCATATGTGCGATTGCCGTATTTTTTCCTTGACTAGAAACTGAGAAAACGAAAATTTCCCTAGTTTTCTCAAAGCAATGCTGAGCCGTTTTTGCATATGTAGTTCTATACTACAAGCCTAGATAAGCATAACTGTAAGTTTTTAGCCTATTTCGAGCGGTACTTTTCAAGAAATATCGATTTTAGCACTGAAACTGAAACGAAAAAATCCGAATTCGTTATTTTTCGAAAACTACCGCTTGGAATGAGCTGAAAATCTACAGTTATGCTTACCTAGGCTTGTAGTATAGAACTACATATGCAAAAACGGCTCAGCATTGCTTTGAGAAAACTAGGAAAATTTTCGTTTTCTCAGTTTCTAGTCAAGGAAAAAATACGGCAATCGGACATATGGATATCAGATATCGATAGTATTGATATGAGCGAGTGGGAGGTCCGTAGAAATTATTTGGACGAAGATCTGATTTTTTTCGATTTTTTGGGCATTTGGAAATCTTTAGATTTTGAGTTCGAACTCTCCGTGGATCGAGCATGCATGAGTGCCATCTTGTAGAGCTTGCTTTGCTCTATCGAACAGTACCCCTTACCCTTTGTTGGGTTGAGTCTGGTTGCTTTGTTAAAGCAAGCAAATAAAAACGCTCATTATTTTTGCACCAACCTAATATTAGGTTGTCCGGAAATTATTGTTCGTTTTCGTTTTCAACCGCCATAATTCGTATATCTTTCATTTCTGAATAGGCTTCAAGATACCATTCGATAGAGCAAAGCAAGCCCTACCAGATGACGATCTTGCTTTAGCGACAGCTTTGTCCACCTCTAGTTTCGAGCCAAAAACTAGAAAGATTCAAATGCCCGAAAAATCGAGAAAAATCATAACTCAGTTCAAAAGAACCCTACAAAAATTCTGACTTGCTCACGTGACCACTATCCACATAAAACATATATGTACGCCGTTGCCGTATTTTTTCCTCTGTTAGAAATCAAGAATACGAAAATTCCCATGCTTTTGCCAAAGTGATGCTGTGTCGTCCCCACATAAATAGATGTGTACAACAAGTCTGTAGAAGTACAGACGTAAATTTTCAGCTCTCCACAAGCTTTAGTTCTCGAGAAATATCGAATACTAGCTGGCTTACCCGGCTCCGCCGTATGTTCCGAATAGAAAATTCCATTTCTTAACCGATCCGGACCAAACTTGGCACACATACCCTTCGGGCCCCGGCGGGTGTCACAGTCCACTTTTCGTTATCGATCGATGTCGATTTTATCGATTTTTTACAAAATTTGAGCAAGGGGCTGTGAGTTGGCAGAGGGGTGTAATCGAGCATGCTGATCACCCCCGTGGGGGTGATCAGCATGCTCGATTACCCCCCTGTGCCAAATCCCAGCCCCGTAGCTCAAACTTTGCAAAAAAATCGATAAAATCGATATAAGTAATGCACGATTTTAAAAACTAATATTGTATTCGGAATCCCCATGCTCACTTGCCCCCCTGTGCCAACTCCCAGCCCCGTAGCTCAAATTTTGCAAAAAATCGATAAAATCGAAATCGATCGATACGAAAAGTAGCCTATGACACCCGCCGGGGCCCGAAGTGTATGTGTGCCAAGTTTGGTCCCGATCGGTTCAGAGGAATTTTCTATTCGGAACATACGTACACACATACAGACAGACAGACAGACATACAGACAGACATACAGACAGACAAACAGACATTCAGCTTTATATATAAGACTAGCGACCCTACGGGTCGCTAGCAAGCGGGTAGGGCACACCCATAAATAAACGTCTTTCATACCTATAATTTCCTCAAGTGAAATTTCAATTTATCAGCACATGTATTGCCACAACCGCTCAAAAGTAACATTTTCAGAGATGTTTTCAATAGGAGGAAAGTGGATCAAATCGTTCTAAAATTTTGTTCTGCCCCAGTCATCGCTTTACAGCTTCCTTTCGCAATGTCACTCTTGCACTCACACTTATAATCTGGAAGGAAAAATCAAATTCACCCGGAGCAAAAGCTCCCAAAAGCGAGATTTTGGGAGATTTTCTTAGAATTTGGCGGAAAAGTGGACCATATCGTGCTAAAATTTTGTTTTGCCCCAGTCATCGCTTTACAGCTTCCTTTCGCAATGTCACTCTCGCACTCACACTTATAATCTGGAAGGAAAAATCAAATTCACCGGGAGATTTTCTCAGAATTTGGCGGAAAAGTGGACCATATCGTGCTAAAATTTTGTTTTGCCCCAGTCATCGCTTTACAGCTTCCTTTCGCAATGTCACTCTCGCACTCACACTTATAATCTGGAAGGAAAAATCGAATTCACCCAGAGCAAAAGCTCCCAAAAGCGAGATTTTGGGAGATTTTCTCAAAATTTGGCGGAAAAGTGGATCATATCGTGTTAAAATTTTGTTTTGCCCCAGTCATCGCTTTACAGCTTCCTTTCGCAATGTCACTCTCGCACTCACGCTTACAATCTGGAGAGAAAAATCGAATTCACCAAGAGCAAAAGCTCCCAAAAGAGAGATTTTCGAAGATTTTCTCAGAATTTGGCGGAAATGTGGAAGCATAGTGAATACTGAGATCGAAAGTGAGCGGATCAAATGGTATGCTTCTATAAATAACTTTGCAACAATGTCCAGCTCGCAATTTCAACACCCTTGGCACGCGCTTGCGTCTTTCAACACACCCATTGCAGCAGCAGAGCGTACCCTGCGTGTCGTGGCCTCTCGTTCGCGCTAGGACCTCTGCGTCCTCTTGACGTCATGATCGCACCGTCGCGTCTCTACACAATAAGGCCCCGTTCGGAAGCTGGCGTCTATTCAAAACACCCGCTGAAGCATTCATTTAGGCGGACCATCCTCGCCGTCTCGTTTTTTGGGATCGGGTTTATATTATAGGAGAGGATAGCTTTCACTAGTCAGGTAGTCCAAGCTAAAATTCAAAATTCTCGAGAACTAAAGCTTGCAGAGAGCTGGAAATTTACGTTTGCACTTCTACAGGTTTGTAGTATACATCTACTTACGTGGGGACGACACAGCATCACTTTGGCAAAAGCATGGGAATTTTCGTATTCTTGATTTCCAACAGAGGAAAAAATACGGCAACGGCGTACATAAATGTCTTATGTGGATAGAGTTTACGTGAGCAAGTTAGAATCTTTGCAGGATTCTTATGAACTGAGTTATGATTTTTCTCGATTTTTCGGGCAGTTGAATCCTTTTAGTTTTTGGCACGAAACTCGAGGTGGACCAAAGCTTTTGCTAAAGCAAAATCGTCGTCTGGTAGGGCTTGCTTTGCTCTATCGAATGGTATCTTGAAGCCTATTCAGAAATGAAAGATATACGAATTATGGCGGTTGAAAACGAAAACGGACATTAATTTCCGGACAACCTAATAGCTGTCGATGTTTTGGTCTGGCAGCTCTGCATTACTGCTCAGGCATATAGTTGTGTTTTCCTAGAAGCGCGCTGGCTGCGTTACCTATAGTCTATCTCTAGTTTTTTAGCGCTGTTTTCAAAAACTTCTCATCTCTTATTCAAAAGAACTTCTATGTACAGGAGCAAGCTATCTGTTACTATATATGACGATTATGAAGGTTGTTACACACTTTCCCAACAATGTTTGTGCGAGTTTTGCGAGCCTATCATTTAAAGAAAGTGTCCTCAAGTGCGCTAGGAGAAAGATAACATCCTTTGGAGTGTTATTTTCTGACATTTGAAAGATCTCGCAAACTGATTAGCGTACTTGTTAGCTGACATCACGTATCAAGGAGGCACAAAAAGGAATGTCGGGACTAAACAACCGAATACATGTAGCATTAGCAAAACAGTCTCAGACTTACAGCGACAATAAACGCAGATAGAAAGCAGACATATACGCCATTTTTGAGGAGCATACTAGGAAATTTTTATGCTTTGTAGAGCACCGTGCATTTACTCACATAGCTAATTATGCAAACCGCTTATTTATAGTGCAATCTTTCATTAGTGCAACTGAAAAATTACGGCGTGATACAAGTGTGTTCAAATATAGAATATTAACTCTCAATACTTTTCCTAAAGTAATAATAATAAAATCAGTGTAAGCAAAGTATAGGTCATTTTCAAAACCGTGATGATGGTTTGCGGTTTGCGCGCAGATAAAACACTCATACAGAAAGTATTACCTCCACGCTCAGCTCAGTCACTTCCAGTGTATAGGTACTACTATAGGCAAGCATAGAAACCCCTGGAGTAGATGAAAACCAAGAAATTGCGGTTTTCAGAAGGCACCTGCGTGTCGCGCGCGGTCGCGCCATCGTCACAATTTTTCAAATAGCCTATATCAACTCCATCAATATGAGTAATACTTCGATTATGCTTGCATTAGTTTTGATATTATCTTATAACATCGTCAAGTAGATACAATACTTATTATCACGTTGGACGCCATATACGTGCGAAAGTGGATAGTGTGCTCGCGCGCACTTCATGCGCTTCTCCGTCTTTCGCCTTGCTAAAATGCCGATCAACTGTAACCGACTGTAGACCAACTAGAGGTGCATCGTTGCTAACGAACGCTACAAAGGCCGTTCTTTCCGAGCATAATGATAATTTAAACCCACTTGGTATATACATTGTCATTCATTGTATTACAGA